CCATCACCACCACCACAGCCAGTTTGAGTGCCAGATTCTCAAGAGCACAAGAGTTTTGCCTATTCATTATACGCTTTCCACTGAATCGGCTGCTGCTACTGAATCGATACAGCTGGTCAACTGAAAACTAGCAGACTAGCTAGCTGGGCAAAACAGCAGCTTCAACTCTCTGTCATCAATCACATGTGGCTAGTGTGTTCGGTGTTTGTGCACAATAGCTGGAGAGGAAAAAAGAGAAAAGAAAAAAAGTGACGAGAGATGAGAATTGTGCTCGTAGCTGTGCGCCTGAAAAGGACCTTTTTTGCCGCATTTTTCTTCTTCTTTAGTGCCATTCTTATGCACTGTGTGACACGTATGGTTAAGGAACCAGGCAGGGAAACTAAAAGTGCCGGTGATTGACAGAATCTTTCTTCAAAGTGCCTGGGTGCTCAATGCATTTGCTGGCTGTTTTTGGATGCCTGGATGAATCGGCGGCCGTTAGCCTTGAGTGAAATGGCGGCCAAAGTGAGCGAATTGTACTGCTGCTGCTGCTGCTAATTGAATTACCCTGCAGCCGCCTTCTTTTTCTTCTGAGTGGATTTTTTTATTCTTTCCTCCCTTCTTCTTTGAAACTGCACATTTTCTCGATATGCTCACATTTGCTTTTTGGTTGCTTTTATTATGCCTCTTTCTGCTCTCCGTTTTCGCATATCTGATTGCATTGCACGAAGAAACTCTAACGGCATTTTTAGTATTGCCTTATTAAGTGCGTAAATGTGTGCACTCTTTTTGCTGTTCTGTCTTTCTCTTTTTTTGCCAATTCTCATTCATCAGCATTTAGACATGCCAAACAGAAAAACAGGCTAGTTGAAAAAACAACTAAACAAAACGCGTTTGTTTTTCTTACTTTTCGAGCGAAATAAAAAGGGAGAAAGAGGGCAAGAAAATGTATCGATCGTAATGAAAAGAGAATAAAATGTGATTCGATTAGAACCAAAGAAAACTAACCATTTCTTATCTCCTGCCTCAGGTCTGCGATTCCTGCGCGCCCTGCGCCTGATGTCCTTTCCGGACATTCTGCAGTACCTGAACGTGCTGAAGACCTCCTCCTCCATTCGACTGGCTCAACTGGTCTCCATTGTCGTCTCCGTCTGGTTGACCGCCGCCGGGCTGATTCACCTTCTGGAGAACAGCGGCGACCCGCTGGACTTTGATAATGGCCACTTTATCTCCTACTGGGAGTGCGTCTACTTCCTCATCGTCACCATGTCCACGGTTCGTCACTGATCGTCTTAATTACCCTTTCCAGTTAGCGTTCCATCTGCTAATGTCTTCTTCATTAGGTGGGCTACGGTGATATACACTGTACGACGACGCTGGGCAGGACCTTCATCGTTCTCTTCATTCTCGTCGGCTTGGTAAGTCTTTTGTTGTTGTTGTTGTTTTTCTGATTCTTGTCATATATCTCATTTTTACATTTTTTCTCTTGTCTAGGCGGTATTCGCCTCACTGGTGCCGGAAATCACCGAGCTGGTGGGCCATCCCTCAAAGTACGCTGGAAACTATCAGAAGAATCCGGCTAAAAAGTGCGTTCTTTTCCAGTCCCATTCACAATCAAAGTGACCCCAAACTGTCAAATTTTTTGTTTACCAAAATAATTCTACCTCAGGCATATCGTCGTCTGCGGCCACATCACCTACGAGAGTGTGTCCCACTTTCTGAAGGACTTCCTCCACGAGGACAGAGAGGACGTGGACGTGGAGGTGGTTTTTCTCCACCGGAAGCCACCCGACCTTGAGCTGGAGGGCCTCATCAAAAGGCACTTCACGACGGTGGAGTTCTTCCAGGGCTCGGTGATGAACCCCATCGACCTGAACCGCGTGAAGGTGCACGACGCGGACGCCTGTCTGGTGCTGGCAAACAAGTACTGCCAAGACCCGGACGCAGAAGATGCGGCGAACATCATGCGCGTCATCTCCATCAAGAACTACTCGGACGACATTCGGGTGATCATCCAGCTGATGCAGTACCACAACAAGGCCTACCTGCTGAACATTCCCTCGTGGAACTGGAAGAGGGGCGACGATGTGATCTGCGTCAGCGAGCTGAAGCTCGGCTTCATCGCACAATCCTGTCTGGCGCCCGGCTTCAGCACAATGATGGCCAACCTCTTTGCCATGAGGTCCTTCAAAACGGTATGTTGTGTTTTGATTGATTTGGAAAGATTCAGGTTAAGACTTTTGATCAAATCTTTTTTGCTTTGTTTTGATCTGAACAGTCGCCGGACATGCCACCCTGGCAGAACGATTACCTGTGCGGCACTGGCTGTGAGATGTACACGGAGAACCTCTCCGCCGCCTTCGTCAACATGACCTTTGCTCAAGCGACCGAGCTGTGCTTCGTCAAGTTGAAGTTGCTCCTCCTCGCCATTGAGGTGTCGCACGAGTCCGGTGACGGCAGCAACACCATCGTCATCAACCCCAAGGGCAACCACCGCATTGGCCACAACACACAGGGCTTCTTTATTGCTCAAAGTGCCGATGAGGTGAAGCGGTAAGTGGTGGAAAGCGATGAGGAGGAATTTATTATCAGACTGGATTAGACATTTCTTTTTTGGGCTAGGCTAGGCTAGAAACACTAATCACTGTTCTTTTTTCTGTTTTTTGTTTTCTTTTAGGGCATTGTGGTTTTGCAAAAATTGCCACGATGACGTGAAAGACGAAAAGCTGATTCGCAAATGCAAGTGCAAAAATCGTAAGTCATCAGGAAACGGTGTGAATCCCCTTTTTGTCTTTTTCTCTATCTCTATCTATCTATCTATCTGTTGGCATGCTCTCTTTTGCAACTTTTATGTTTTACTTTTTATTATTATTTCTCTCACTCTCAACTTATCTATCAATTTGAGCCATTTTCTAGTCTTTCTTTCTCTTGTTCTATCTGCTTGTTCTTTCCATCTTTTGCTTGCTTTAACTTGTTCACTATCTCTGTGTTCTTTCTTTCACTACTGCTACTTCCTGTAGATCGTTTTTAGTCATGCAAACAAAACCAACTAAGTCAGCCTTTCTGTCAGTCAATCAGCCAGTAGATCCAGCATTTTTGCTTTTAGCTTTTAGCCACTCTTGCGCTTCCCTAAACTAATGTACAAATCTTCTCTCTTTCTCTTTCTCTGCTCTTGCTTCTCTCACCACCGCCACCATTTCCGCTTCCTCCTTTTTTCACATTCTCTTTCACTCATTTCAATTACTCACTCAAATTCTTCCACTGCACTGCAACCTTTCTTTCTTCCTCTTAATCTTTCTTTCACGCCTACTGTCATATCACTCACTCTCTTTTCCCTTTCCTTTCACTCACCTCTTTCTGCTTCTGCCTTTTACTGCCACTCTCTTTGCCGCTTCTTCCGCTTTCCTTCTTTTTCTCTTCACCACTAACACCACTTTTTGCTTGCTCATCTATCACACTTTGCACCGCCACCACCACCACAATCCGCCCACTATCGCTAATCAATCTGCCAACAATAACTGCAAACACAATCTTTTTTCTCTTTCTCTCTTTCACGCTCTCTCGCTCTCTCGCTCATCACCACTATCCACTTTTTCCATTTCGCTTTCCACCGCCACGACACACACTCACACACGCGTACACACCCACCAACTCGCAAACAAACAAACTCATTCAAATAATCAGTGGGCGCCATCTTTAAGAAGGGCGTCCGCGTGGTGCAGGCGGTGAATAGCAATCCCAATCGCGCCTCCAGTGTCACCTCTCGCATTCTCGATGACCACCGTTAGTATTATTGCCACCAAGTGGCACTGCCAATTTATCATCATTTCTTTTATTATTAATTACCCTCTCCCACTCACCCCATTTATTCCCTTCCTTTCCCTCCCTCCCTTGCCATTTCCCCCTCCAATCCAAATCGAGTGGTGCATCTTGCGGACTTGATGTAGTTATTTGTAGTCATTTGCTAGCGGACTAGCAAAGTACGGAATATGTTTTCTCTCTGTGAATGATGTTAATGTTAATGTTTATATGTTGGCCAGTGAATGACATGACTGAATGATATTTTTGTGATATTTATGCGCATACTTCCAGTGCAACAGCAACTGTGTTCACTTCTCCCTCTCTTCTCTTTTTCTCCCGAGTTAATGTTTGTGTGCCCGCCGCCGCCGTCGCCGCCGGAAATGTGATCCACCGGAAGAGCAGAAGGGCGACAGTCGGCAGCAATCGTAAACAGAGGAGAAAATCATTCCATTAGGTAAAATGTCATACTTGCCCTGTAGTAAATCGGACTGTTTATGTTATATGTCCAAGCAGTGCTTGCCATCATTATTTATCTTCTCGAACACTTTGACTTTACCCAAACAATTTACTACTACCCCACCATTCTTTAGTGCATGCCCCTTTTCACCCCACTTTAGTTTGCTTTGCACGTCTCTGCCAGCAACTACTTCCGCCGTTTGGTGTGTGTGTGCGTGTGTGTGTACTTGCTTCACCTCTGCCGGTGTCTGTGAAACTGTAACCTGCTCTACTAACTTACCTTTATTTTTTATTATCATCCTTTGCATTTTCTCTCTTTTTTTCTCAATTTCTTAACCATCGCCACAACACTCGCTAACAACAACAATCACACGTTTTGCTAACTTTGTCTCAATTTTTGGTTTGGTGCCCGACTTCCGTTTCATTATCACACGATACTTTTGTAACACACAATGACACACTAAGAAACTCCAGCAGAGAGCATGTTTGGCCTGAACAAGCTGGGCCTGGGAGGCCTGGGCTCAAACTCGATGGCGCTGATCAAGTGCGGCAGCAGTGCAGCAGCAGCGACGGCGGCGGCCTCCGCAGCTGCTGCTGCTGCTGACGGTGGTGACCCCGGTGGCGGCGGCGGTGGAAATAGCATTCCCCTGGCGCCCATCAACACGCCCCCGGAGCTGCCGAAGAATGCGGCGCGAAAGGCAGGCGTCCCAGGTGCCTTTCCAAGAGGTATTTTTGGTAACGATTTTTCTGTTTGACACACTTCTTTCACCTGCTCACCATCACCTTCACCACCTCCACTACCATCACTTCACCAGGCACTTGTGATTACTTTTTTACTTTTTACTTTTCCTTGTCACACGTTTAAAGCCCAATCATTGTGATCAAGTGATTTACCAATATCGGAGCACTATATTAATTCACTGACACACCAAAACACAAACGGATAATCTACTACCAAGTACTTTTTATATCAATGCACGTCTAGTTGATGATTAATTAGCTCTAAAGTGTAGTGTAGTATTGATGTCGGAGAATGACTTGAATACTGATTCAAGTTTAAAAGAGTTACAACTTTTCAAAGTATTTGAGCATGCCTTCCCCTCCCTATTTAAATTGTTCCCCAATTCAGATCATCCCCACTTCCCTCCTCTCCTTTCCCCAACACTTATCACTCCAGTCCCTCCTGTCCCACACTCCCTGTCGTGTCAGTTGTCTTGTGCCTGTGAATGTGTCTTTTCTAATAATTTGCCTTTTCTCGCTTTTCACCTTTTGCCGCTGCAAAACAAAAAAACTGCCGCTGCTGCTGTTGCTGTTGCTGCCGCCAAATATGCGCGCATGCCATCCAATTGATGCTGTACAAACANAAAAAAAAACTGCCGCTGCTGCTGTTGCTGTTGCTGCCGCCAAATATGCGCGCATGCCATCCAATCGATGCTGTACAAACAAACAAACAAACAAACAAGCAGGAGACACATTGGGCGATCCAAGTGAAAGCAGTAAGTACACACGGTAGACTGTGTTTCAGTGTTAGACTGTGGTAGACTAGACAATAGACTAGACAATCGCTTTTATACTAAAGCCGATTGAAGGAGAAAGGCATGCTTTACTCGCTAAACTCGGGACCTCTTTGTCTCCATTTCCATCTCTCTTTCCTCTGCAACCACTACCACCGTCACCCTCACAGTTCACTTGATTCCGCCGTCTTCGACGTCGACAGGTGGCCGGAGGGCAGCTCGCAATGGCAAGCAGCACCCCAATGCAGTGCACCTGCAGCCGATGCTCCTCCAGAGTCCCAACAGCGCCGGACAACGAGGAGGAATCGGAGGAGTTGGTCCTGGGGGCCCGGGAGGAGTCGGTGGTCCGGCGGGAGGTGGTGTTGGTGGCCCTGGTGGTGGGGGGCCTGGACAGCAGCAGAAGGGACCAGGACAGGCGCCCGGTTATGGCCACCAGATGCACCTCGCATACGAGGTGAAGAAGTTGATGTAAGTGTTGAGAAGTGCTGAAGAAAAAGTTATAAAACACATCAATAACTTTTTTATTTTCTAGGCCCGCCGCCGCCCGCCCTCAGGAGGGCAGCAGCTCTTCTGCCATTGTCCCGCCCTCCGCTGGCTTCATCGACTCGAAGGACTTTGACTTTGAGAAGACGGAGATGAAGTACGACAGCACGGGCATGTTCCACTGGTGTCCGGCGAGGCCGATTGAGGACTGCATTCTGGACCGGAACCAGGCGGCGATGACGGTGCTCAACGGCCACGTCGTCGTCTGCCTTTTCGCCGACCCGGACTCGCCGCTCATTGGTCTGCGCAATCTGGTCATGCCACTCAGGTAAAACATGGTCACCAAAAAACACCATCATTTTTGACACGCAAAATCTCCCTCCTTCTTTGCAGAGCTTCCAACTTTCACTACCACGAACTGAAGCACGTCGTCATCGTCGGCAACGTCGACTACCTCCGGCGCGAGTGGAAAATGCTGCAGAATCTGCCGAAGATCTCCGTTCTAAACGGCTCGCCGCTCTCCCGCGCCGACCTGCGCGCCGTCAACATCAACCTCTGCGACATGTGCGTCATTCTCAGCGCCAAGATTCCCACCTCCGACGATCCGACGCTGGCGGACAAGGAGGCCATCCTCGCCTCGCTGAACATCAAAGCGATGACCTTTGATGACACCATCGGCGTCATAACCAACAACGCCGCCTGCGCCCCCGGTCCGGGAACGGGCATTCCGGGCGCCTCGCCGCCGCCACTGGTCGTCCAGAGACGAGGCTCTGTCTACGGGTCAAACGTGCCGCTCATCACCGAACTGGTCAATGACACGAATGTGCAGTTTCTCGACCAGGACGACGACGACGACCCCGACACGGAGCTCTACCTGACGCAACCGTTCGCCTGCGGCACCGCCTTTGCCGTCTCGGTGCTCGATTCGCTCATGTCGACGACGTACTTCAACGCCAACGCCCTCACGTTGATCCGCTCGCTGATCACCGGCGGTGCGACGCCCGAGCTGGAGTTGATTCTAGCGGAGGGAGCCGGTTTGCGAGGCGGCTACTCCACCCTGGAGACGCTCAAGAACCGGGACCGCTGTCGAATCGGGCAGATCTCGCTGTACGATGGGCCGCTGGCCAAGTACGGCGACGGCGGAAAGTATGGGGAGCTCTTTGTAGCGGCGTTGCGGCAGTACGGCATGCTCTGCATTGGCATCTACCGCTTCCGCGACACAAACAGCTCCTCAGAGGCGTCCAACAAGCGGTACGTCATCACCAGTCCGCCCGATGATATGGCACTACTTTCCAGTGATATGGTAAGTGGAAAGGTTGATGCTTCAGATGTGGGTTTCATTACTAACTTTTGTTTTCTATAGATCTTCGTACTCCTCCAATTTGACCCTGGCCTGGAGTACTACAAAGCTGCTGAAGGGCGTGGTGGTGGCCCGGGCGGCCGGAGAGGAGGTGGTCCCGGTGGCCACCACGGTCAGCTGATGAACCCCGTGATTGCGGGGGCGCTGCCCGCACCGCCCGGCCACAATGTGCCCGTCTCCGGGGCCGGGGGAATGCCCGGTATTCAAGGAGGCGGCGGACTTAGTGGTCCTGGCGGCGGCCCGGGCGGTGGCCCTGGTGGCGTCAACCAGGGAGGCGGTGGCCCCGGTGGAGTGGGCATTGGACCGAACTCCGGCCCGAACCCAGCCGCTCTGGCGATGATGGGCAACCCCGTGGGGGTGACCGGGCCGCATTCGCAAGGAGGCCAGCCGCCCAGCTGACAAATACTGTGCAGCGCTCTGACGGATGGACCCTATTCGTTTATCTAAACACACACCACCTTCCCACCCACTCCTATTTATTTTTCATTTTTTAGCTTTTTTTATTTTCACAACTAGATTATTTCCACTTTTTATTTACGTTTTTTTCAGGACAGTTCAGTTCAACTTTTTATTTTCACTTTTTTCTACTTACCTTTTTTCAGTTTTCAGACAGACAGACTTCATTTTATTTTCTTTTTCACACCATTTTCTCTTTTGTTGTAGACCACAAACGCTAGGATTTTATTTTCTTTTTCTCCCCTTCTTTCTATTTCTCTTAAACGAATAAGGAACCATCATCCAAACGTCAGAGTGTTGCACACGCTCCTACAACAACGACTTTTTTACTCTTGAAACGCAAACAAACACTAACACGCCACCTCATAGTCACTTGCCATATCCAACACAACTAACTCCCACTCTAGACACTCAAAGTGTAGATTTGAGCAATTTATTTCAATGTAGAAACAAATACTTGACATCAAACAATTCCATCTCACACAAACACACACCTATTTTCTCTCTGTATATAAGTGATTTCGACACAACCTCCTTTTCCTCTCCCATTTTCCTTCTTTCTCAAACACTTGCCGCAACACATTATGTTTTGAGTGACAACTTCCAAACACCATCACCACCACACACAATAGTAACTACTCATTCAAACAGTTTCATCAGAAGTGCTCCTGTATCCTGTAAAATCCCGCCGCATCTTGGCAAAAAAACGATTTCTTTTCTCTTCGTTGCTGCTATTGCTACTGAGTTCAATTGACGATCGAGTTCATCTCATCTCACCACTATCATCACCATCATCATCATCATCAACTTCTTTTCTTTTTTTACTTCCGTTGCCACTCCCTCCATCTGGCCCCACCACCATCACCACCACCACCTCTAACACACTCACCTTTGAACTTACTTTTGGATTTTTACTCTTTTTGATTTTATTACCTTGATTTCCCTCCTTTCTCTCTCACTCACACATGCTCTCTTTTTACACACACGCCCACTCCTTTGTTTATCTTTTCTCTCCCACTTCAGTTGGAACACTCTCTCTCACACTGCAGCACACATCTACTTACCTCCCACTACTTTAGTAATAAGAAAATTGATTATAATCCGATCTGTTCTAGTCTTTTAGACCCACACACACGCGCATCTACTGACCACCATTTTTCCTCCACTTTTTCCCTCCTCAAAAATATCTATTTCCATTGTACATAGTCAGCCAACCAAGTTTCGTACATACAGACCCTGACAAACAACTCACGTGTTGACCACAAAACTGACATTGATCGCCGCCGGGCAAAGCACACTACCAAATATCAGCACTATCTACACTTTTCTTCTTTTTCTTCTTATCGATTTCCTCCTCTTTCCTTTCTTTCACTTTTTCGCTGTCTCTGTCTCTGTCTCTCTTTTTTCTCCTTTGACCCATATTACCTGAATTGTGTGATTGAATTATTTATTTATTTACAAAACCTTATTGAAAACTATTGAACTAACTATTGTTGTACTTGCCATTGCGATAATAAGTAAAAAATATTTATTTATCTGATTACTTTGTTGGTTGCTGCTTTTTGCTGTTTTGAAGCTTCGCGCAGTTTGTTTTATTGCGGCACGTCTTCTGCGAACGGCCCATAAATTAAAAAAATTGTTTTGATCCGCAGAAAAAACGTGATCAGCTGAAAACCTCGTGGTGTCAGATTTGAAGGACGTAATGGTAAGTTGCATCAT